TGAATTTTTAAATTAATTTTTTTTTATTTATTTGTTTTTTGCTTAAAAGTATAATGATAAGTTAATGTAAAAATAGTTATGATAATTTTTATGTAATAAAAATAGATATTTATTATAGTATAAAGAAATTATTTCTCTATTGATAAGTAAAAAAAATGCAAATTTTAATAACTATGGAAATACATATCAATATTTTATCATACACTAAATAATGTCATATACAAAACTTTAAATGTATTTAAAAATTTGAATTTGGTTTGTTTTTTCAAAATGTACAAAAGATTTTTCTAAATGTACAAAAAGATAATCAAAAAAGCGTGTTTGAAAAATTGCCTTCTTAGTTTCGCTAATTGGAGAATAATTAAATTAAACTAATTTATTTTGATTTTTTGATACAATATAAATTAAGAATTTAAATAATTACATGTTTCCAAAAATGTATATATTTTTATCTTCAAGATAAATCATATTGTCATAATGTTGAATCTCTTTTCTTTTCTACAAATACATATCATGTTTCTAAATATATATATATATTTATCTTTAAGATAATTCATATTGTCGTAATGTTGAATCTCTTTTCTTTTCTACAAATACTATCATGGTTTCTTTTCTACAAATTCTATCATGGTTTCACTTGTTCCAAAACTCAATCTCATTTGACTTTTCATTCAGCAAAGTTTCATCCTTTTACTGTAACTGTTAAAAATAAGATAAATACTTTTTGAACTTATGTTCAAAAAGCATTTTTCTTATTTTTATTATCATTTTTTTTATTGAGCGATCTGTACTTTACCCAATCTCATGATGTCATCTAAATCAAATAATAGTTGCTTAATTTGTTACGCTCTTACTTGGCAATAGTATTAATCAAATAATTGAAAATCATTTTGAAATATAAATATTACTTTTCATTTATTATTTTATTCATTCATCAATTATTCAAACATTAATCAAATCTGTTCCGGATTGACTACTCTTTGACAGTCTGAAAGTGTTCTAGTAAGCTCTAAACGTTTTTTGAAAGCTCTGCATAGTTATTAAAAAATCTATAAACTTTTATAGAATTCAAAAGTTTTTAGAAACTTAAATTTAAAACAATGTTTAAGAATATTTTAGAACTACTCGGTATTGCATGTGAAAAAATTCAAAAATTCAAATTCAAAGTATCATTCTGATTATAGTTCTATAGTTAAATTAAAACTGAATATAGTTTTACAGTTAAATTCTTGTTATAGAAACGAAGTTTTTCTGGAGCAACATTTTTTTAAACTTATTTAAAATAAAAAATTAAAACTAGCACAATAATTTTTATACTTGGTTGTCACGAATAAAAAATTTTTTTAAGAACTATTCAGAGCATTCAAAATTTTTTTAGAGTTTACTAGAACACTTTTTTGTTTTCAACAGACTGTCACACAGGAGTCAATATAGTACAAGTTTGATTAATGTTTGAATAATTGATGAATAAATAAATTGATGAATGAATAAATAAATAAAATGTAATGTTTATACTTCAAAATGATTTTGAAATATAAATATTACATTTCAAAAGTTTCATATATATTTATGAAATAAACATGTTTTTTATTCTTGACATGTTATATAATAAAATTATTACATTTTCAAAAGATTTATAAGGTGATTCTCAAATTAGTGAAACCAGAGAGCTAATTTTTTAAACACTTTTTTTACAATTATTTTCCATTTATCATAATAAATATTTAATATTTTTATAATTACATAAAAGCATTTCGCTCTGCCCCTCTTTCCCAGTGTCATTGGCCCTGTATTGTGGTAAAATAACTAAAAACAATTATAAAATGTTCGTCACACATGTAACAAAGTTTTATAGTTAATGATATAATTGTGACATTAAACAGATAAGATCATTATATTTAAAAAATCAGAAAATAAATAATTGATAAGGATTGGAACTAAATCATAAATACTCTATACAATTTTTTTTATTTGATAAATTACTTTTTTAAAAATTATTCTCAATTTTTTAAATAAATTCAACAAGAAAAAAACAAGAGTAGTATTTAAAAGTTATTTCAGTTTGAATTAGCTTAAAAAGATGAGTTAAATAATTTTATAAATTATTGATTCAAAGGTCTTTGTAAATTTTAATAGTTTCCTGTTTTAAGTTAAGGTTAATATATAATAAAAATTAAAATGTCTTGAGCTGAGAGATTGAAAAACTTTAGAGAAAAACGAAAAGCTGACATAGAATACTGTTCAATAAAAATTAAAAGGATTAAGAATGTGCGCAAAATGAAATTTGCAAAAATGAATGATACAGAAAAAGATTTATATAAAAAAAGAAAAAAAAAACTGAATGGAAAGAGAAAAAAGGTAAGAAAATATTTTAACACAATGTTTTTGAGAGAAGCTTAGTAGAGTTTTCAATCGACTATGGAGAGATAATGCCTTTCTTTACATTTTGTAAGCTTAGGCCAAAAAACACCCACAGACCAGTGTAAGTGAAAACTGAACTTTTGCTTGTTACTTAAAGCAATAGGCATCAGCTATAATAGTTCATATGGGTTACTAAATTTTGGGAACACATTCATATAAAAAGTTTATATAGAAAGAGTTCAAGCAGCTGAATTTGAAAAAGACAATGGGACTGCAGCAGAAAGAGTTCTTCAGGTGGATTTTGCAATGGCATATATCAGACACTAGAAACAAGGACAAATATAGTGTTTACTGCTTTATTGTGTAATTATATGAGATATAGTTACCCAATAAAGCTTATGTCTGAAAATGTAATAATGATACTGAAACTCTTTTCACTGATAGCCCATCATCAGAATTTAAAGATAAGTTTATGAAGAATTTACTCAACCAATTATCTTTGCAATAAAATAAAACATTTGAGTGG